AAATATTTTGACCCCTAAAACTCTCTAAACCCTCATAAATAAATCCTAATAGAACATAATTAACTCAAACATAAATGATATAAAGAAAAAATAATTTTAGAAAAATAGCATTTTTGTAAAGATTTCAAAAATATGGCATTTTTGTAAAATAACACTTAAAAAGTAGCATTTTTAAAAATTTCTCTATTAAAATTGGCATAAATTATTGACACACACAGAAATTATCTGTTGATTCTTTTAATAATTTCGTATTTACTACGAATGTTTTGAATTATTTCTCACTTTATTGTAGTAACTGTTTTCACCTTTGGAAAATAACAAAACTTTTTTTTTTTTTGTTATCTGGAAATTTTTATTAAACACAAAAAAATACAAAATTGATTACATAGTCAACCTAAACATCCCTAACAAGCCAAACGTAAACCATCGGAAAAATATCAATTCCCGAACAAAGTAGTACATACCTACCAAAACCAACCTTAAAACATAACTAAAGCACTAAAACACCATAAGGAAACAAGGTAGAGGAAATTACTCTCGTTTTCATTTACGACAACAAAAAATGATTAAAAAAAAATCTACAAATTAATCTGAAATATGATACATAAACTACACCAAAGAAAACTATATTAGTAATCGTTTGCATTTACGACAACACAAAAGTGAGATAAATCTAACATCTCTCAAAGATGTTACATGAAAAAAAAGTATCGATGGTTCTTGAACACATGGTCCCTCGTTTTGATATTTGTTCCCTTCTTTTCGTGTCTGACAATACATATGTCATATCTCAAATGCCTGGCCCGAATATAAATTAGATATATATATATCTTTAAGCTGTTGATAATTAAAAAAAAAAGATTATTTGTAAGTTCTTAATTTGGTTGAAACGTGGTTTTGGAAAGATAAAAAAACTAATGTGTCAATCAACAAATACTTTCAGTTTTGTGGAAACAACATCTTTAAAAAAAGCTAACATCAATAAAAAAAATTATATCTTTTAATAATGATTATGGAAGGCTATTTAAAATGTTGAC